TCAAATTATGCAGGTTTTTTGCAACGCCAACGCGAAATTACTGCTTCTAACCATACATCATAAACTCCTGTAAGAACCGTCGATCAGGCTACAACAGTACAAATCCATAAGCAAAATTTCTGAATAACACCCATAAGCAAATCCAAATATTATTATCTTGAACAGTTACTTAACGATTTACCACTATAAAAACCGGTTGACCTTGAAGAATTCCTTTCAACAGACCTTGTGTATGTATAAAAATAAATAGATAAATAAATTGGAGTTAATATCGAATTTAAATCTATTATATAAAATTTGAACCTTTGTTAATAAAAGTGATACGTGGTGGTTTTAATAAGTTATAAACCACCACAATAACGATAATTATTTTAGTATATAAAAGCCAATAATTTTTTTTTCTTTAATACAGGCAAAGAATGCGTTATATACAGGGTTTATCTTGTGTATTCTCCTTCAAAATTGGGGAGTATCTATTTAACACAGGAAATAATACTTTTAATACAATCTCAATATAGAAAATCGATGAAGAAGCAAATGAAGAGAAAATTCTACATGAGAATAAACGAATCATAAATGAATTACAGGAAGATGCACCCTGTTACCATACACAAGCAATGCGAATAAACTATTTGTGTACTTGTGAATTGCTTTTCCCGAAAGCTAAGCCTTCGTTTCTTCGAACAATTTATAAAATGCTAACCGGTGACGTCTCTGTAGCCGAAACTACAGACCAAGCAAAGGTCGATGAGCGTGTTAGAATCGCTTTAGATCTTGGAGATCCAGAAATAGCAGTTGATTTGCATAAGCATAATAGTGGGAGGCCCGGTAAATATGATGTTTTCTGGGGAGTTGCAGCTCAGTTTCTTGAAGGAAAAGTGGCTGATGCCATAACTGCAGTAGATGAATATAAACATGATCCAATCGTGCACCTTGCGACCGCAATATCAGTGAACAATCTTTTGCATCAAATTGAAAAAAAATGCCCAACTAGAATACCAATACCTAGTACACAATGGCTACAATTACAGTTTTGGCCTAAAAATCCAACACGACTTAGTAGTTTACAATTTACTGGTCAACTACCTTTAAAATTCATGGTCCAAACACGTCAGCTATGTGCATATCATCAAGATACTCATTATGCATCTGCAATATTTCGATATGAAAAAAAATTTGCTATAAAATTTCGAAAAATTACAAATTTCGTTTTAATAGATGACAAGCATCGTTGTAAAGTTGGGGAGCCTGGATTTCCTATAGCTGCAGTTGAAAGAGAAAAGAGAGTTGTAGTTAGTAGAAATACTATATTTACAGTCACTGATCATGACTACACTAAAGCAGGTATTATACCAAGTGTAACAATGATATGTAATATACCTGAATCAATAAATAGTGATTTCTATATAGGCAAAGTGCATATAGGATTAAAGGATCCAATATTTCAACCCACCTCACCCCTTCACCATACAACAGAACTATATAACATACTTCTTACAAAAAAGCTAACCGATAAGCCTATACTATGTCTCTATACAGATAGTGGTCCAGATCATTGCTGCACATATACTCGCATTCAACTTTTCTATATTTGTCTTTTTCTCGCTTTAGATCTCGATTATTTTGTTGCAGTTTGAACTCCACCACAACATTTGTGGAAAAATCCTGTTGAGCATATTATGTTGATTTTAAATCTAGGGCTACAAAGTGTTGGGTTGATAAGAACTAAGATGAATGATCAATCAGAAAAATTAATAAGTAAAGTCGGCACAATAAATAACATTCATAAAATTGTAAATAAAAATAACGGCTTTAAAGATGATCTAATTAAAAGCCTTCAGGCCCTAATTAATTTAATTAGTGATATGTTTAACCGTCAGTCTCTCAAAGGTGAGCTATTTGAAACATTTAATGCTGCTACAGAAGTAGAAATAGAGAAATTCTGGGAAATTGTTTTGCTTTTGGATGATGATATTTCCTATGAAAATTGCATTGCAGAAGCTATAAGGCAAAAGGTAAGTATTAATTGAATCATCTGCGTTTAAAAAAAAAATAAAATAGCAAAATAACAGCATTAACTTCTTTTAAAGCTACATTTACAAGATTTTTTCAACCATTGTTGCACCTTAAGACATTACTTTTTTTTGATTAAAAAATATGGTGAATCGTCTTGCACTATATATCGGCCTCCCTGTTGCTCCCCAGAAGACTTTGAGCAGCTGCACTGCCTACCAGATCCAATACCTAGAGATGATTTACATTACAAGTCATTTGAAGAGATATATGGTATCCGAACAACAGAAACCCATAGACCTTCATTGGCAAAATCCGGAGCAAAAACTAAAGCAAGCAAAGTAAAAATTAAACATACTATGCTATTTAGTCCCTCTGCTGCTCGTGCAAAAAATGTTGGTGTCATTGTAAATTGCATTGAGTATGAGAAGTCTCATCTTCTCTTAAGTGCGAAGAAGCTTTCCGAAAAAGATAAGGCTTTGTTGAAAAGATTTTTAGATACAATTTTTTATACCTGTAGTATGTCATTTCATGACATATGTGACTTGATGATGACCGTATTACCAAAGGAGCCGGAAGTTGACGATGATGCAGAAAATACTGTTAGTCCTAACAAAGAAGCTAATGAAGAAAACATGAATAAGGTGAATAAACTTGATAAATCCAAATCTGAAAACTCAGAAGAAGAAGAGCCAGGAAAAAATATAGAAGAATTCGATGAAAGTGCAAAAGAATCTGATGAAAATATAGAAGAATCTGATACTCATAGAGAGGATTCTATTAGTGAACTTTTTTCTAGAGTCTTCATTAATGACTCATTGATTTGTTCTACAACAATTGAAAAGCCATACTATTTAGCTAGAATCTACCCAGCTGTTTGCATTGAATGTGGATGCCGAAATGTTAACAAACCAACAAAAAATGAACATCCACGTTGTAGTAACTGTGGTAGTAACTCGATCAACCCAAGGAAATCTTCAATGAAAGCCAAGGTTAATAAACGCAAACATGTAAATATAAATGAGTGAAAGTATATAGAAACTTAGCTTTTTTAAACAAAATTGCGCATATGTAGTAAATCCTATTTTTCTATATTTTACCACTATTGTAATGTACAAAATATAAATAAAGATATTATTCTTTAGTTCGCCTAAATCATAAACACTATAGTTCTTTTTTAGTTCTTTATAATAGATATTTAATTATCTTGATTTCTGCTAATCTTCAATCTAGTATTTGCTTCAGTTTTGTTAGAAATTATTATTATAGCACATATACAACTTGTAGTTGTTTTAATACTTCAATAAATTGGTGCAATCACGCCTTTGCTCAAAGCTTGTTTTAGAATAAATGGCATTTTTTGATATTTGTAAAATAACCCAAAGAGAATAAAACGACCAAGGTCTGAAAAAAAATAATCCAACCATGTTAAATGGGTATATTCCTATGCCTTTCTGAAGAAATAACTTACTTTCTTAGTTGGAATTAACAAAAATATCACTCCTCACACCTTCTGCAGGTCCTTTGCCACTTGACTTTACCACAAAGGAGCCCAATTATTAACTATTCAGCAATTACTCAGACCTTCGAGTGTAGTTTGAGATGGAACAGATAGAAGAAGCATGCCATGACAAAATCATACATACAAACAAATATACTGTACATATCAAGTTACCAGATACCATATCAGATACGCATACGTATATACGGTACATATATGGTATAAACGATATTAGATATATTCTACCTTACTATATAAAAAAAAAAAATTTCCAATTCTCACTTTACCGACCTGGCCAGGTTATGAAAACCAATTATATAAGTTTATGCGGCCTTATTTAGAAACTACTATTAAAATTTGTTAAAAAAAGAATGTTGTAATAAATTTTTTTATTTAAAATTCAAATATTGATTTCTTAATAGCTAACTATTCAAATTTGATAAAAATTTTTTTTTATTTAATTTTACATGTTTGTAGAATTATAATAAAAAAAAAATTTTATGAATTTGAATAGGTAGTTAGTTATTAGAGAAGTGTTATTTATTATCTGATTTTTTGTAAATAGTAAAATCTTCTCTTTCTTAAATAATTATGATTATATAACATATATATATATAAGATCTATTAGTATGATATTTTGGCACCAGAGTACAAAATCTACTATAAAATACTAGAGATTCTAGTAAATTATGAAAAATTCTAGCACAATTTTTTGATAGTCAGAAAATTTCCATTTGTTTAAGAATTTTGACACTTTTTTATATTATAACTAACTCTGGTTATAGATCTTAAATTTCATTTAATAAAAAAATCACCAGAAAAATATCAGCCACAATTTTGTACTTGGCACCTAGAGATGTTAAATGGTTCGCAGGGGACTGATTTTGGACTGGTTCTGGACTGGACTTTTTTAAGACTTTTAGGGACCATCCACAATCAGTCCAAATAATTATATAATATGAATTGAATATTATTTTGACACTTCAAATGAAATTTAATAAAACTTAAATCAAGAACAATATTTTTAATTGCCTTAATTTAAAGAAGTATAATGTTCTTTAATTGGGTTAGGTATTCTGATTGGTTGTTTTGATAATTGTTCTTTTTTTTTGCCATATAATACAAAATTACAAAATTATATGCATTGTACAGTATATTAAAACCACTAGAGTTGAACTGGTTTCAACAGGGATTATGAACTAGTTTCTAACTAGTTCGGGACCAGACTTTTTAAGGACTGAACTGGGACTGGACCAGACGGACTTTTTAACATCCCTATTGGCACCCACCCCCTGCTAAAAAATCAGTAAAACCACGAGTTGCCAATTGATGATGTGGTTTTTTATAGTAGAGGTTACTTTAAAAACTTTTTTATGTTGTGTAACGCAGTGATCTTCAAGCCAATCAAATCGAATGTCTGCCATAAAAATCATTTTTCTATCCCTAGTTTATTATTTACGTAAGAAACAAAATATTTTAGACATCCATGTCTTACGACCCCGAAAATCTACGAGCAGTTACTGAAGAAAAGGAAATAACCAGTATAGAAGAGTTATCCGATTCGTCTGATTCATCTAATTCGTCATTCGATTCGTCGTCCATTGATTCCTATGATGATAGGTAACCAACGCGTCTTCTTATTTAAATAAATATTCACGTACATTTAACAGAAATTTTATTTCTTTGCAAGTTCTGAGTTGGCAACTGATGAAGAAATTCTTGAGGCCGAGTTGATGGATCCTCAACAACATGAACGAAACATGATTTTAATGGAACGAATCATTAATTCTGAAATAAATGACAGCTACGGTGGTCTTCTTCCTTTACGCACTAAAAATGAAATAGTTGATTTAGTAATATCTAAACCAGAAATTGACCTTAAACCTGAGACAAATATAAAACTGATTGGAACAATACTTCACATTGTGGAAAATTATGTGGTTATTAAATCAATTAATTCTGGTGAAAATCAAGTTTTGGATTCTGATACTGTCTTACTGCTTGAAGGCCCCGAGGTTTTTGGGACCGTGAGTTAATTAAAATAATTCCATGATAATTTGCTAGGTTAAATGTATTATTTTTCTAATAATATGATTTTATGTTCACCAATTAAGATCTTTGAGACTATAGGTCCAGTTAGTCAACCTTTATACGTTGTTCGGTTCAATAATGAAAACGAATTTAATAAAGAAAAAACCGTGGAAGGCGCTAGTGTATATGCTGCAGATGGATATATTCATTATGTGTTCCCTGATCAAATTCGCCAGTTTAAAGGATGTGACGCTAGTAATATTAACGACGAAGAAGTTGATGAAAATGTAATTACATTTCTTTTTTTTTTTTTTCTTTTCAAGAAATTGTCTTTAATTATTGTTTAAATGTTTTAATTTAAATATAGGAGCGTGATTTTTCGGATGATGAACAAGAAATATGGCATAAAAAAACTCTTAGGCAAGAAAATGCTAGGTGAACTTTTTATCTATTGATTTACTTTATAAATACTCGAAATATTAATGAATTATTTAAACAACAGGGAACATGGTGAATTAGAAAACCCAAAACAGATTGGTAAACGCGCGTTTCGTAGTGATGCAAGCTCTTCCAATACTGTCACAAATGGTTCTAATAATAACACTCGAAGACGAAATAGTCATAGAGGTGGTAGAGGTGCAGGCCTTCGACAACAACCACGATATCCTGATGATTCTTTTGGATATAATATTCTACCTAGACCGAAAAACTTTTTACCACCTCCCTCATAGTTTATAATCGATCCAATTGATATATATTGTATGTTATTATGTTATTAGTATTATTAATTTCCTGGGAGCTTAAAAATTACAACAGAGGTTCTCGATTATCATAGGATACAGATGGCCCTTCGGGACATCTGCATCATATGATCATCGGAATCTCAGTTGTGGTTTTTAACTCCTCACAGGAAATTCATGAATAACACCCTACCTTACGTTGTTCATGCCTACCTATTTCGTGTGATTATTTATGGCGGGAATCTTCCCATTGAAAATTCCCGGTCATGATATGATCTCGTGGGAAATTATAATGAAGGTAGGCATGAACAATAAATAGTAAGGCAGGATATTATTTTTCGAATTTTTGGCTATTATTTGCAATTCTTATTTGGTGAAAATATTAAATAAGCTGATCTCATATATAATATAGTGTTTGATTATGATCGAACTTTTTATAGAGTTTAATGAAAATTTTGAGATTTTTTACTAAAACGAATCGACATCATTCGTGTACTAATTAAAGTAGTTCGTAATACAAAATTCCGAATTTTATGAAATTAGAATCATTATTATTAATTAATCAAACGTTTCTGCAACGCACGTAAATTTTTTAAACAGAAGCATCAGGTTAATTAGTGAAAACTAGTCCAAATTTCACAAAAAGTTTTTAGAATTTTGCACTACAAACACTTTTACATACTTAGTACGCAAAGATGGTAAAAACCTCAATTTAAATATATGTTTATGCATGGCGTATATTACATTATAGTATGAAGATTTAAACCAAGCTTCTTAGTGTAAATTTTTATCTTATCGAAAATTTTATGAAATTTGGACTACTTTTACTAATTAACTTTTATTTGATATATTTACATTAAAAATTTATAGGGTTGCAAAGTATTTAACATAAAACCAATAAAAGTAGATCAAAAATTTTAAGGTAAATGAATTTTATGCTATGAATAGCTTTAATTCTTTAGCAGAAAATCTCAAAAATTTATCATTCTCTGACTAACTCATATGCATGTTCGATATCTGATTATTTACGAAAATTTGACTAGCATTAGTGATACATGTCATTATTTATAAAATCGACTTAAGTGGGTTAGGTTAGTTGACTTAACCTAGCCGATTTTTGCAAAGCCGATTTAACCGAGTACAAATAAGTTAACAAATTAAGATGATTCAATGATTATTATTCAATCCAATCATAAAATTAATATGTAAGAGGACAAAAACAGTAAATAAAAATAAATTTACTGTAGTCACTAGCTTTTCGGCATGTCTTTATGTATCTATAATTTTCTGTGCCGCAAATAAATATACTGAAGTTGCAATTGATCTAAAAGCCAAGTTTTGATTGCAAAAATACGATAATTTAAACCAAATGTTAAAAATATATTTAAGCAACTCTTAACTAGCTTTAAAATACAACATCCAAGTAGCTCATTTTGCTTAACTAAATATAATATTAAAAGTTGACAGTTTAAAGACTATTACTACTTCATTTTAACCCAAGTTTCTACATACCTTAATTAGCGTCAAAATTTGTTTATAAAATAATGCCAAGAGAAAAATGAAATATCATTATATTACAGGCATTATTATATGTTAAATTTAAGAATTTTTTAGGTGTATTATCCTATATAGCTTTTTTTTAGTGTTGGGTTAGAATTTAGGGTTAGAGTTGAGTATTAGTAGATTTCCCCAAATTTCACCATCATCGACATTATATAACTCACATGGGCCTTATTTAGTAAAATTTATCTCAAAATAATACACCTGCGCGTTATTTTGAAATTCAGATTTGACAAAAAAATCTTCGTTACAAACTAACGCACATACGCGTATTTAAATCTACGGACACGTACAGGTCACGTGATATTTCATCTTATGGACAACGACCCCTAGCGTCGCCCTGAAAAAATGGTAGCCGGACAGATTTGCCGGGTTACACAGAATTTCGGATACAAAATTTTGGTTGTTAAATAACCGAAAGTTCAAAAAAATGAATACGTAGTGCAAAATTTTTTTATAAATTATTATTCTTTGTTTAATGTATAAAACCATTATGATTACAGAATTATCACTTCC